AATGCAAGTTTATCTATGCATAATTACCCCCCCCCCCACCCCTTCCTTTTAGACTGACATTTTCTTCATTTTTTGTCTGTAGCCATAATTCACTGATATATATATATATATATATATATATATATATACTATTATATAGCAGATTAAGGCTTTCTTTTGAGGTTGCTTAATTTAATCATTAGTTAAATTAAGACAATGCATTTTGCACTAAAAGAACATACTTTTAGCAACCAAAAATCCCAAACTGTGTCGACATTTTTTTAAAAATAAAAAAAATAAAAAAAATCATGATTTAAATTTTTTAAAATCGATTTTTTTTTTTTTTTGGAAAAAAATCAAAAAAATCACCAACCCTGTTTTGTATAAGTAATGATAATATATTGACTCGTTCAGGTTATTTGACTTACTCTGAAAAAGGGCGCTCCGTTCGATCTACTGTTAATCAAAGATCGTGTATAACTTCTTTTGACCGACTGAACAATCTTCTCATGTACGATCTTTGTGTTAACTCAGCAGTTGGTATCGTACTGGATTGAGGAGCAGGTGGCCCTGGTTCGATTCCATGACAAGGCGGTCTTTTTTTTAGAGGGGGGGGGGGGGGTTACGGCACTCGCAACTGCATAAGGTCATATGAGCGCGGGACACGTTAAACATTTTCAGTTGGTAGGAAATTTAGAATGTTTCCCGTGTGGCGACCAAAGCCTACTCTTATCGATTTTGGGCCACCAAGGGATCTTTAATGTCCTCAACTTGCTCATGGGACCTCCGAGATTTTTCGCTCTTGTCCGAGAAGGCTAGGTGTTGATCTTTCATACCAGAAGATTAGGGGTAAGGAGCCAAGGAGTAGCAGTGGAAAGGCTGTAAAAAGAGTCAGGAGCCCAGAGGAGGGGGGCAAATTAAGGAGGTGAGGGGTTGGGGGCAGAACGTAGAGAGGAAAGCAGACGACAGAACATTGTTGGAGAGCAGAGGAAAGGAGGTGAAAGGGGACAATTTTAGAGAAGAAAATTTTCCGTCGCTACCCGGATTCGAACCCGGGATCATTGAATGAGAGGCGAACCCTTACCCTCTAAGCCACGAGAGCCCCCCCCCCCCCCCCCCCCCCCCAGACGTTTTTGAACTCCTGTCGTTTTGTGTAGCTCTTAGTCCGTTTAGCCGGGTCCTCTTAGAGACAGACGTTAGATTCGGAAGCACCGCGCCTCCTAAATTAATGCTATAGTTATAGTATTGATAGGGGCGCACCCCAGACGCGGTTCGTCCATAGAGCACGGTCGTGCAGTGCCGCCCAATTTTAAAAAATGTTTTATTACGTAAAACACCCACAATAATAAAATAAAAGATGCCAGAAACAAACACTAGCCAAATAAAATGTCAAAATAAGGTCCTCACTGGCGCCATAACTGTCATTTCTGTGTCTATAGCGCCGTAAAACATCTACTATGCCATGCCAAAGTCCACACGCTTTAGCTAAACATAATAGGATATTAATTCAACAGTGTAACCTGACCTATACATCGCTCTTGGGGATAACCCAAGTGATGACGGCACTTGTAGCGAGTTTGGCGGTACATTAATATTAATAAGACGGCACATCTCAAGTGTGCTCTTGCCGAATAGTGCCGAAACATAGCCCACAGTAGGCAGTCTAAAAATAAACGCGATAGACCGTACGCTGTTCTTTTCCAATATTATGAGAGCCGCGGAGCAATCCAACAGAGTGCTCAAGTGAATTGTGATTGGTTCATTGTCTGTCTTGTCACTATTTTAACCCTAGTCTTCTGGATGGGGGCCTCGCAGACCCCAACAGGTATATTTCAGGCCTTTTCGACAAAACTTTTGGTCTTTTGGTTCCATGTTATTTTCCTCCCCGGTATTCTTCAAACACCCTCTGATAAGCATGAATACGGTCTATGAAGTTATTTGGATAATTTGGAAGACAGTGATGAATATTTTCCTAGGACAACCCCCCTGAACCCTAAAGGGGGCCTCTCAGACCCCAAGGCATTTTTACTATAAAAGGAAAGGCATTTCTCCTCCTGTCAAGTGTCAAGTATGTACCGAATAGCAGCTTCGACGAAGAGACCGGGAAAGCAGAAATCAACATCTTTTACAACAAAACAAAGGGCGGTGCAGACTCTCTGGATCAGGTGGTCCTTGCGTACATGTCAAAAAGGCAGACCGTGAGATGGCCTCTGACCTTCTTCTGCAATCTGTTGGATGTTGCGGTTATTGCTGCTTACATCTGCTTCACTGCTCAAACTCCCCAGTGGAATATCCGCAAGAAACACAGGAGAAAAATCTTCCTCGAGATGTTGGGTGATGAGCTGTGCTTGCCATTAATACAATGCCGGGCTGCCGCTGAGAACATCCCTAAGTCAGCTCGTATGAGTATGCTTCTCTGTGGTGTCACACCACTTACCCAAACCAAAGAAGCCAGAGCACTGGCCACTGAACATGGGCAAAGAAAGAGGAAACGCTGTGGACTTTATCAGAGAAACAAGGACAGAATGTCTTGTCTTATGGAATATCAGTTGGTGGGGAACACTCTGTTTCCAAGCGCGTTTGTCTTCACTGTCAGTAGACACTCCCGAGCACTTGTCTCCTGGTCTTCGGTGCCAGTACTGGTACAAAGTTACTATATGTACCACACTATTTTGGCATCATCCTAATTATCATTTACCGTAATTAAGTCTTCTTGGGCATTTTCATGAGATTCATTTTTAACTGAAAAACTACCACATCATCGTTTAAATTCAATCTCATTATTCAGCAATAAAAACAGCATGCTCATGACATGACCGACTCACAATCATTATGAAAACAAGTGCCAAATTGCATTGATTTCTACAGTCTAACCTCATTCAAAGTTGTTCACCAACTAATATATGATATATAAAGTTCAATAAATTTGTTCGTTAAACAGATTATTTCTGTATGTGTAGTCTTGGGTGCTTTGTTTCAACGTTTCTGTGTTTAAGTTTCTGTAAATGATGATCAACCACCAAGTTTATCCATAAAATACAAAGGATAAATAGTGGGGGTCTGAGAGGCCCCCTTACAGGCTTCTAGGGAAATCGTACCATCCAGAAGACTAGGGCTAAGTGTGACTCTGTGACCATGAATCTGAGGGAGGTGAATGTGACCGTCCTATGAGTTGTGCCTTTGAATGGTATTGTAGTGGAGTGGTGAAAGTTATTACTTGAGTGTTCAGTTCCAACACAGGATGAACGAAATTGATGTTTAGCAAACTAACAAATTTAGTACTAGAAATTAAAGCGATAAGTAAAAAGAATGAAAATAAAAGCACGAGGTCCTCCCTCACCAACCCAAATCTTAAAATGATACATATACACCGTCTCATTTACTATTCCCGTGCTTGACTATCTTCAGCATGCGATAGCTTAATTGTGCACGTCCACTTTTTAGCCCCACGAGCCGCCCCTGGCGCACCCATACATTTACGTTCACTATTTGAAAAAGATAATTATATAGATTCTAGGCCTACTTCTTCTCACCCTGGATCATCTGGAAGATTACCTTTATCATAGTTTGATTTGTGATTTAAAAGGGGCACATTCTCAATTAAAGTGGCTGCTTCAGATACTACAGGCCCTACACCTTGATTTCACAGGCCACAATTTTGACGCACTTAATAAACATGTATATCCCTTGGCCGTCGCACCCTTCCTCATATACATAGATTATAAATAAGTATATTATGTCCTTAATTCAATTGATATGGTGGGCGGTTGGCGGGTGTTCTGGTGTGGTTTGCTTCTTCTTTCCTGTCAAACATCTATCGTCTTTATATCTCCCCTCCTTCTTTTTTGTGTTCGTTACTCTCTTAAGTAACACCTCTAATCTTCGGCACTCATAAGGCCTTATTGCGTTGCGAGTGCCGTAAAGCTTTACTAAAACAAACAATTGACATGTCATCATTTAGGAAGCGACCTTCCGACTCTGCCTGTCAGGGCCCATGGGCTAAAAAAGATACAGCATCCCAGCAAAAAGACCAAGATACATAGGCCTACCATGTACTCGATAAAAATTCTCCCTAAACTCGGGTTCGAACCTGGGTCTCCAGCGTGTGATAGCGAAGCGCCTGGCACCAGCTGGCCACTACACCAAAGACGCAGTTAAGTCATAAAAATTGGCTGAGAAAAAAAAAGAAGCAAGGCAGTCTACCTGACATGCCTTACTAAACAATAAACAACCTTGAAATTTTGCTTTCAGTTCGGGCTTTAATACTCCTGTTGCAATGGAAAAAAACTGCCATGGAAATTTAAACACTTTATGGTCATTAGAGGAACTATATATCGACTTACACTAGATCGCGAACTGTCATGGCAACTTTTCTTTGTGCTCATAAAACTTAATGTGCGTACCAATAACCGCTCTATTACTTCTAATTTTCTAAATCAAGGCAAAATACCAGTATCGCTAAAGTCAAGTGCGTGTGGGGCCCCGTTATCCCTTGTCCTTCATTTGACTAACATTAATTTAAATCGTGCGCTCCATAGGCTAGTAATAATATATCGAAAATGCACTCTGTATCAGAAACCAGTCTAAAATATAATATACAAATGCATATTCTGTGGAGGTGAAATTGTGCTCTTGAATAATTTATGCCGTCAAGAAACCTTTTGGTGTCTTTAACTTACAAAAGATTCAAGAGCACAATTTTATTTACAACAAACATTATTATTTTGGCTCATCAAAGGTACATTTTTCTGGCTTGTTACAGTCTATTTGGCAAGCCGGTGGTCTCTGCTTAAAAGCGGAAGTTGGTTGCGGTTTCTTTTTCCTCGGCTTGTCAGCAATCACGAAATACCAAAAGCAAAAAATAGTTTGATGGGAAATTTATAACTTGATTTTAAAAAAAATAAAGTGATAGTTATACTGACCCCATGTCTATTTTTGTGAGTTCTTTAAGCCAAACGATGTACCAGTCTCTGGATGTACCAGAGACTTTTAATATAGGGATGTACTGAGATTAGCTACGGAGAAAATATTTGCTGCGTGACTACAATCTCGCTCTATCTTGTTTGTCATTACTTTACCTTCTATAACAGATCATAGAACATTGGAAGAGTAAAACGAAACCATAGTTTAGAGGACCCACTGGAATCTAGGAAGATGGTTGTTAAAAATTCAGAGGACGTTGAAATGAAAGATGTTTCAGAAGCATCAACAAGCAACAAACAAGATGATTCAAAGAAGGAAGAGGAAAAGAAAGACCCAGAGCTCCTTACTCTGGAAGGTAAGAAATCAAATAGAAATTAAAAAAAAAAAAGAGAATTTTCTTGTTGAGATTACAGTCAACATTCCAAGACATGGATCTCTATGGCAAAGATTCTCTTTTAGGTAAGATTGAAGAATACCGGAGCAGCGGACTGACTTTGCCTATGTCTCAACCTTAGGCAGGAATTCATAATTTTCCCGTTTTTAATATCTCTCAATGGAGAATCTCGGACCGGTAGATCTATTCATAAAAATTTTGTCAGGGGGTAGCAATACCAATCGCTCGTTTCGCCTTGGGCCGGAAATCGGCCTCCGCGCGAGGGCTAATTTTTGGGCCGTCGGAATCAGAAGTGACTCTCTTCTAAGTATAGTTACGGGAAAACTCCTGGACGAAAATTATAAATGAAACTCGGAAACCAATCAGAGAAATGGTTAAACTAACGACATGCCAGCGTACAATCTCGAACGATTTCTAGAACCGGAGATATTGCTGTGTTCGTGCGAATTTCCTCTGCGGTTCGAAAACTAAGCGGAGCTGCAGGTTGATCGCCGACCACACAAAAGCGCCCCTCATGTCTTTATTGCTGTAAAATTTCAGATCTCTGCGTTAAGTAGATTTTACGTACCAACTTAAAATTACCACCAATCTATTGATAAAACACTAGAGCTGGAAACTAGATCACGCATTCCAAACGCGAGGTGCCTGCATGCAAGAGGCGCGTGATCGCTAGGCGGCATGTGATTGGCTGCCTATAACCAAATAGGTCACCGATGACTACATTGCGGGATTTCCCGATAGCGCTTTACTGAGTTTTAGAAGGGGTGATCGTGTCGCGGTAAAAATGATGTCACGCAATTCAACAAATTTCACGCAAATATCAGTCTTTAAGATCCAAAGTAATAAAGACATCGAAAAAGTGATAGCAGAACTAGATTCTGCACTAAAAATCACATGAAGATGCCGAGTTTCATTCATCATATACTCCAATTCATTAACTGACTTATGAACAGTTTTTCCTCTAAATACATCAAAACATGTCCCACATTTTGGCGATTTTTTCCTATATGGGAGTGTATACAGACCCGGTAACCGGGAACAAAGTCACAAAGTATACAGACCCAGTAGGCGAACTCTTTTGTGATTTCGGAAAGTTTCAGCGCCCTCTTGGCTCAGGGTAGACCTAGATCTAGGTTCTTCTAGATCTATGGCCTAGGTCTCGATCTAGACAGACAGACATAAATCATTGATCTAAATCTAGTTTCGAGGTTAGCCAAGATCTAGATTTAAATGAAAATTGCGAATGTCTTTTCGAAGAACCATCGTTTTTCCTCCATTTTTGGAGTTGGGGGAATCACAATTTGAAGAAAAGAACAATGTCATAATTTCAATCGAGCAGTCACGCTGTCTTTCTCTCTCTCTCTCTCTTTCTCTCTCTCTCTCTCTCTCTTTCTCTCTCTCTCTCTCTCTCTCTCTCTCTCTCTCTCTCTCTCTCTCTCTCTGTCTCTCTCACTCACACACACATACACACACACACACACACTACCGGGTCTGGGCGCTGAAACTTTCCGACATAACAAAAGAGTTCCCCTACCGGGTCTGTATACTTTGTGATTTTGTTCCTGGTTACCGGGTCTGTATACATTTCGTTCCTATATATATATGAAGGTCCTCCAACATTTTGCAAACAGAAGTCCCAATGACTTTTTTAATTTATCAATGGATTTTTAAAATTTAAAAACCATAGTTCTTAGAATTTACTCTATTTTCATTTAAGCCCATTTTTAAGCAATTTGGATGAAAATTTAATTTTTCATTGTCATTTAGCAATGCCAATCAGGCTTTCCCGCGCGGCGAAAATTTGGTCTCCGTTTGCGGGCGATTTTGCGGACCCGGCCGAAGAGTAGGTGACTAACTTTGTCAACCTAGATCTGCTCTATTTCCGAACCAATCCAAATGAAACTTGGCAACCAATCAGAAAATAGGGCAAACTAATGATATGTGGACGTTGAAGTTCGTACACATAAATTAACCTATACTTTTGGTGTCGGGAACACTTTCGTATCGTGTACACCGAAAACTATAAGGAGTTTAATTTCAACGCCGAGATGGTAATAGATCTATCTATCCTCTATAGTGTACTCAAATTTGAACGTGCTGTGTCAAGTAGTTGTTTAGACCCGATCATGAATGCACGACTACCCCCCCTATCCAAAGCGGCTTCGCACGGAGACCGGCCATTTTCCCCTCACTCTCACGACAAATCCCCGCATGACTATTCAGCGCCCGTTCATTGGTCACTTGAAATAGGGCAATGGCGGGCGCGCGCATCCGGTTGTTTTTCTCTCTGTTCCCCTGTAACATCGCAATGGGGTTATTCCGAGGCGAGGTTATATCGTCTCGGGGTGTTCACGTCTCAACGGGGAAAAAGAATTTGTAATTGTGCGGCATGCTAGATTGAATTAACTTATCTTTTACGGTTGGCAAGGTCTAAAGTCATCATAAAAAGCTTTGCAATTATTTAATCACACTGCCGACATATATTCTTCAAGATCCCATGTTGTGATATGATGCTATAAATAAAATGGACTCATCCCGACACCCCTTTTTCGCAAAATCGCAATATGTACACCAAAATTTTAATTATAACAAAATAACTACGAAATGAGTAGTAAATCTGACTGCAGAAATGATTTCTACACTCAAAAACACATCGGGTAGCCAAGTTTCTCTCTAACACTCCGATTAGTTACAGATATCGTCGATTTTCTTACAGAATCTGCTACTGCGTGGTCCACTTTTTAGGAGTATTTTCCTACATGTGGGTCATCCATATTTTGCCGACCTTTACAACCCCATACTTAGAATTGAAAATTCTTTCTTAGGTACCAAATAAAAAAGGGCTAAAATGAAAATTTAAATTTTTATTGGCATTGCTATGTCATTGCTACAGGGGGGAGACCCCCCTGAACCCCCCCCTCCCCCCTCCTCAACCCCAACCACCCGCCCCACCAACCCACTTTCTCGCGCAATAATGTACGAGTGGTCCAGTATTCTTCAATCTTCCCCTCTTTTACTTTAGTTTGAGATCATTTTCATCTTTGATGGTCATGATCATGATTGTTTGCGACTGGTGTGTTATTTTACATTGGACATCATTCATTTAACTCAGGTCCTGTCCTGCGTCTGTGCCGAGATGCGAGTCATACTCTTTTCTTTATTAACTCTTGCTTGTCCTGCGTCTGTGCTGAGATGTGAATCTTATCAGTTACCGATTACGTCGGATGTTCCGGGCAGGACAATTGGACAATGGGGTCACTAAGTGTGTGTACTGTTGGTGTACAGCGAGCGTGCTTGGAAACGTGTTTTTGCCATGAATAGAGATTTACTGTGTGAGTATGTTAATTGATGATGAAAATAACGCTCTAGGGCCTATGTTTTATTTTTTATAGCTTTCTATTTACAAAGTGTTACGAACACATGAATAACCCCCTCTCATAAGCTGTTAAGACATTATGTGTAGATCTAGTTACGCCCCACGGCGCACCGGCAGTGGAATTTTAGTTGCCGCGGGGGGTTCCCCGCCGGGCGCCTTATCACGTCGGGGTCACGGGGGTCAGCTCCCTGTCGCCGGTCTGTCTGGGCCGACTTAATTTTTGGTACTTTTCAACGTACTATTGAAGCTGTATCCTTGTATTTATGGTAATTCTCATTTAGTGCACCCAAAGCACGCATTTCTGCTCTTGAGACTCAAAAAAGAACAGAAGTTGTAACTTGTCTGGTTATTTCGTTAGACGCGCTGGAGTCGGCAATGCTAAATTGTAATTTTTTTGGGACTAGCGTGAATGAAAAAAAATCAATATATAAAAAACGCATCGTCAAAATCTGTCGAACTTTTGGAATATGAACGACATAACATTAGTGCAGATACTCAGAAAAGATGGTATCTGCGCTTATAATAGAAGGCTGTAATTTTGCAATTTTATCCATCGGGCACACAATTCGCTACGAAGTAATTCCTCCAAATACAACTTTATGTGTCTAATATAATCATGAATATTCGCATATTTTCTCGAAAGTTTATAAAAGTTATCATGAAGTTTCTCAATCAAAAGTGCAAATCGATATTAGTGCTAGAATATATCTTCAACGTAGATCTAATACACGAACAGTATCCGTTACACTCCAGAGATTCCTTACTTTTCTTAAAACGCTAAGTTTAGGTTTTGTAAGTTGACTGAATAATAAGGATGACTTCTCGTAATTGGGTTATAAGAATAATTTCTAGCTTTCCAGGGACACTGAATCAGCACCAGACTTTCCCAGCTTTTTTTACGTTTCTGTGACCATTTGCAATAACTGACAATGTGACTGATTTCTTTACATTCATAATTGTATCCGCGCATATTTCCTACACAAAAACTAAGAATGAATGTGTTAGCTGTCATTATTTTTATTCCTATCGAGAAGTTTATCTCTACCTATGTATTTACACGGTTTTGTGGTTTTTTTAATCGCTTAGATTCTATATTATATCTTTATAGTTGTATGCAGGCTGCCACAGACACAGCATGATTCATGAACAAACGCAGAGTAACTTTCTCTTGTTTAATAGTAAAATAAGAGCTAACGCTGATCGTCTTTAGTTAAAATATGCAGATGTGCATCTTTCTTCTCTTATAACTTGATTATTACTACTACCGCAGATTTAAGATTTCTAATGGTAAAAGACATGATATTCGTAGTCAGTTTAACACAGAATTTGGAGAGATCTGTCGTGCCTTTTTAAAAATAACAATCATTTATTCATAGCTTTGTAACTAAAATAGGACAAATTGGGTACTCTACAAACACTTGTCTAGAACAAAAACTAAGGCACAGAAACTAACCATTCTAACGCAGAATAAATCTCAAGACATTGAGCTTTTAGTACATCCGCGTAATGGTTTGCTGTGTGGGATGGGGAAGAAGTTATATCGTTTTAAACATAGTCAAAAATGCGAACTTCCCGACCGACACCGGCAAAGTCGCCTCAGGGCTCATTAACCCTGTGACCCCGAGCCGGGGAGCTCCGGCGGGCTGCTGAGTCACGCGAACTAAAAGTAACAGAATCGGGCGAAAAGTGACGCCGTGGCCCGTTCAAAAACCTTTTTAGATGCTCTTGTTGTTATGAATGATCTGGGGTTCGAAAGGGGATAAATATAGGTCAATTTCCGAATGTTTTGCTCTCAAACCGCGTGTTGTCTCTCACACCCTTATCGTGAAATCCACCATCATTGTTATGTACAAGAAATGATAAACATTGGACATTATCATTGACATCACATCACAATAGTGAAAGGCTGTGCCGGCAAGTACATTTATCAAAGCCTCAGTACCAGAAAAAAACATGTGTACAAAACAATTTTAAACTAATTTGAGGCGAAAGCACCATGTCAGTGGCTTTTAAAAGTGTGGCTACAAGTAGTGTGAGCTTCCCAGGCTTTCTGGTAAGTGTAGACACCAAAGTTTAAGAAGTGTATGCATAGAGTTTTCTTCACAGTGAATTTCCTCTTTTTCCTGTGCAGACATCAAAGAGCAAGTGCGACACATTGAGAAGGCTGTGGCAACAAAAGAACCGCGGTTCATGTCAAGAGTTGTGCGTGGTTTGATGTCCATACGCAGAAAGCTGAATCCGAGAATTCTCCGATCGTTGATGAAAGGATATTTCACTGCTCAAAACATTGCCAATAAGGAGGAGCTGTTACCATTTTTGGCAGATGTAAGTGTTTTTATGAAATGAGAGGTAGAAAAAGTTATGGGAACAGAAGTTTAACTGGTCTAGTATGTTTAGACATATGTTAGGGCATCATGGTAAAATCAGACGCTTGTCAAAATAACAAAATTGGAGAAACTCATTTGCCTGCAGGTTTTGGAATTTTTATCGATTAAAAAATTTTTTTTTTTTGCTTAACACCTTTTATGCCCAATAGAGAACACATTTCTGTGTGGATTTTACTGAAAAACATTGATTAAAGGCACAGAACATGTCTTTTTTCAGTTTTCAAAGACTCTTTAGCTATTGGAGTTACCGATCATTGGCAACCATTTTCTCCCTAATTTCACCACTGAAACCAGGAGACCTCACTTCCTTCAATTGCAAATATTTTGAATTCTATTCAAGATATATGGATATTTGTTTTGTTGGAAGCAAGGCAAATAAATTAGCTTTCAGCTGGTATCAATAACTCCATATGCCCCAAAATTGACAAGCGCCTGATTCCACCGCATCGTGACACATGTGATGAACTTGTTAAAAGAAAGCGAGAGACTGTTGTGTGTCTGAATTTTTTTTTTTCTGCTGTAATCACTTTTATCACAAATATTATGTTCTTTCAGTATCGTTTCTTCATGCTGTTCTGTTCTGTGACAATTTATGACTATGTGATGTCATCAATGTGTACGATACGAGGGTGTCTGGGTAAGTTTTGTGGGATCGTCTTTACTCAAGGATGTACCGGAGACAGAGAGAGAGAGAGAGACAGACAGACAAGAGAGAGAGAAAGAGGATTACTATAGGAGCTGTGCGCTGCATATGTTCTTTGTATTATTGTGCAGCGCATTGAGCACTTCTTTGTCAAAATTCGCTATATATATGCAATTTATTATTATTATAAAAAATTAGAGATAAAATAACTTTAGCGACTGAAATAGTAAGTAGTGTCTCTTTTCACTCTTCTATCTCTCTTTCTGTCCTCTGTCCCCATCTCCATCTCTGTTTGTCTGTCTGTCTGTCTGTCTGTCTGTCTGTCTGTCTGTCTGTCTGTCTGTCTGTCTGTCTGTCTGTCTGTCTCTCTCTCCCTCTCTCTCCCCTCTCTTTCTCACTCTCTCTCTTACTTTCTCTCTCTCTCTCTTCCCCTATCTGTCTCTCTTTCTCTCTCTCTCTTACTCTCTCTCTTTCATAGACAATCACGTTATACTTACTCAAATACAGACACAAACTCTTTGTCTGTTTTTCTTGCTATGTCATGTATGACCTTTGCTCATAACTGTGCCTGACCTGTAACATGGAACTGCTGCTTTTTCTTTCCTAATCCTTACTATTGTCATTTTCCTCTACTTCTTTTACATGTTTGTTACACTCTTGTGACCCGCTATTTCCGGGTGCCTTGATAGTCGAAGCAGACTTTGTGCTAGAGAGATGAGCAGAGTAAGCCAGATTCCCTGTAAGGACTTCTCTGTTGAAATCCACCCCTTGGCGCTCATATATGATCTTATATATAGTTGCGAGAGCAGTAGGACCTCTACTAAAACTAAACTAAACTAATTATTATATGGTACATATGCTCCACAGAATGCTCTGTGCTCTTTACAGTGTTTATTACCCAGTATATCCTAGAAGAACATCCAGTAAACATTCATCCGCGAAAGCATACTGTACAAGCTGCAGATTACACTAACTAATGCTAAAGATCGTGAATAACAAGATGGTTCACTCCTCTCTTTGAGCCAATGAAAGAAGTGTCCTCAAAATTCGGTGGCGCCCTCTTAAAAAAAGGGCGGACTATGTGAACAGAGTCATGCTACTTGTGTGAGAAACAATAAAAACGTAAATAACAAGCTGTGCTTCTTCTGGAGAGACAAAAGAAAGCTTCAAGACAAAGACTGTACTACTTTTTTGGCTGAGTGAACTATCTTGTTATGTACGATCTTTGCTAATGTTAAAACACGGGACAAAAAAGTCAAGACCTTTTGATGTCTATAGCCGAGTACCCATTCCCACCAAGGTGAAGATAACAACTTTCTTGTAGTGATCCTTTCCCAAGCGCACAGTATCGGGCCAACAACTTTCTTGTAGTGATCCTTTCCCAAGCGCACAGTATCGGGCCCTTGATGGGATTTGAATCCACTGCCAAATGGTTGAGAGTCCGAGAGCTTAACCACTGTATTTCTATGTAAAGTTTTGGGACATTTTTTTGACCTCGTTATCTCTCAAAATGACCGGTTCTGTTACTGATTTGTAGTTCAATGGTTCATTTAATGATACCAAAAGTCAGTTTCTTCGTGCAAATTTGGGAGAACTGCTGAGGTTTGATCAATTTCTTGTGAGTTTATTGAATTGCAGTGAACAAGAGTTTAGAATTTCTCCTATATGGCCTTGATGAAGTGAACTGCTAAGGATCATAATTAATTATCCTCACACAAAACTCTTGTTGTTTTTCATACTTCTCAGGGACAGAGTGAGGGAATGAATGGTGTCTCTGGGACGTTCAGACCTCGTTCTGGCAAGTTGGCATCTGCTCCGATTGTTCCTGAGATTGAAATCTACATCCACCTCCTGGTTCTCATCTACCTCATCGACACGAAGCAGAATGAGCGGGTGAGGGACTTGTTTTTGTTACAAAAACTTCATTTTCTCAGGAGGGGGAAAGTTTAGGGGCGAGGTTTTTTCCCCATGTGGACTTCTGTTTCTTTTCTTTCTTTCTTCCCCCCCCTAAAATCATTTTTGAAAAAATATCTTAAGACAAGTAATTATCTTACATGCCCTTTATACAATGACTCTTGAGAGAAGCTCTAATTTGTGAATTCTTTCTGAATAAAGATTTGCCTCTGCTGTTAGACAAATTCCCATGCAGATTTAAAGAATTGAGCTGCAGGTACTCCTGTGCTTGTTGGGTACTCTTGTGTGGTCTACTCCTTACTTTTCGGTTTTGATAACTGTTCTTATTGAAATGTTGAAAATGTTTTGACTTTTAAGCTGAAACTCTTGTCTATTCACAACCAAAAAGAAAAAAAACAACATTCTCTGTAAATGTTTTTACATTTTTAGTTTGTGCCTGGTATACATGATGGTATAGGTTATATAACCCTTCAATCTAGGCGTCACAGCTTTACCGTCCTATTTTCAGGCTGTTGAGTGTTCTGAGCTGCTCATGAAGAAACTGGCCCTGCTTAACAGAAGGACAATGGACATGCTTTCTGCCAAGTGTTACTTTTACTACTCCCGTGCCTATGAACTCACAAACAAACTGGAGCAGATCAGGACGTATGTTATTTCAAAGTGTTCTCTGATGTTTTTTTCTCTTTTCAGTCCAGTAAAATTATGATGAGGATGGGGTGGCAGAGCGCTTAGTGCGCTCGTCTCCGAAGCTAAAAGTCCAGGTTCGAGCCTCAGTTCAGAAATGGATTTTTTTTCGCCACCCAGCAGTAATGGGTACCTAACTTTGAGTTGGGGAAGTAAAGGCGGTGTAGAAAGGAACTGACTTCCCTACCACAATATGCAGAAGGCCCAGGAAGTTGTCTCACTGACAAGGCAATCCCTTATGTCCGGATTGGATGCGGGAACAACTTTATTTTACTTTTAACATTACGATGGCCTACCCTAGAGTCATAAAAGGGGACAAATGCACCAACAAATTTTCAAGCAAAGAAGTAACCCAGGGTGAAATGACTTGTACGTGCATTTTTTTGGTCATTGTGATTTTCCCAACATTATGATAATATTTTGTCATTGTATGACTTTAATGATATTGGTTCATCCTGATTAGGATTTCTTTGCACAGTAACTTTGTCCTAGTGGGTGATTGGCTGGTGCTTTGGTGTTGTTTGCTCCTTCTTTCATATCAAACATCTATCATTCTTATCTCTTGTCCTTCTTTTTTGTGTTTGTGTAATCTTTGGCACTTATATGGCCAATTGTGTTGCAAGTGCGTTAAAACTCTTTACTAAAAAAGCAACTTAATTCTAGGGGTTCGAAATGCAAAAATTTTCTAAGACATAAAATAACCTTGTTGTTCTTCAAATTTTTGTTAAATATGTCACGAGCAACAGTTGTGATTCTTATGACACTGCTCACAAAAAAAAAAGATGATTATTTCATTGTTTAGAGACGTAAAGGGGTAAAGTAACAGAAATCCAACCATCAGTCGGTATGTCAATATATTTTTGTCAAATGTTTTTTCCTTTTCTTTTCTAGCTGAACAGCATCAGTTGTAGTCCTTCAGCAATTACATATTGGTGGTTAAAACTGTGCTTACGGTCTGGGCCAACAGGAATGTAAGACTTTTCATAATTGATTATTTCTCTAGATACCTTCATGCAAGACTGAGGACAGCCACACTACGATGTGACCATGAAGGCCAGGCCAGCCTGCTGAATCTCCTGTTGAGAAATTACCTCCACTACAACTTGTTTGAGCAAGCAGACAAACTGGTGTCAAAGTCGAATTTCCCTGATAGTGCCTCGAACAACGAATGGGCAAGGTTTCTCTTTTATTTAGGTAAGACAACTGGAGCAGTTTTCATGGGATCATTTTCCATGCCCTCTATGAAGGTTCCCACTTTTTATAACTTATTTTTTACTTTTCTTACTTATTGGATTTGAAGTTTTTATTATACCACCTCTTTACTGTAATAGTTCTGAAAAAGTTTAAGAAAGTAAATGACAGAGTTTCCAAGAATAGACCTTCAGTGATGACCTAAATTCAGGCCCCAGGAACTAGACTTGATTGGCACCATTACATTGTAAACATATTATTTACCGACCCACTCAACAACTCATCTCCCCTAATTTAGGTCGTATCAAGGCTGCCCAACTGGAGTACTCTGACGCCCACAAACATTTGCTGCAGGCAATGAGGAAAGCCCCACAGCACAGCGCTGTTGGATTTAAGCAGACGGTAAGTGCTACGTTTTATTTTATTTTATTTTATGTTTTTTTTAACAACAAACTGAGCGGGTTGAAGGTGCTAGGATACCAAGCTAACATGCGAGCTGCCTGCATGCAAGAGACATGTGATTGCTAGGCCAGATATGATTGGCTGGCGCAAATATTAGACTTAAAGATTCAAAGTGATAAAGATACTGAAACAGTGAGCAGAACTAGATTCTGCATTAAAAATCACATGATGATGCCAAGTTTCATTTATATGCTCCAAGTCAACAATGACTTCAGAACAGTTTTCCCTCAAAATACACCAAGAAACGTCTCACTTTTTTGGCAATATTTTCCACTATAAAAGTCCCCAAATATTTTGCAACAAAACAAATCCTGATAACTCTTTCATTTATCAATGTATTTTAAAAATTTAAAAACCGCAGTTCTTAGAATTTACTACTCTTTCATTTAAGCAGTTTTAAAGCAATCTTGCTGAAAATTTAATTTCCATTTGTCATTGCTACTTTGTGCAAAGACAACAAGCTGGTGTCTATGTGTATAATCTGGAAATGATATGAAGGATAGTGAGTAGCAATGGAAGAATGAAAAGTTTTTTGCATCTTCTAAAATTTGCCTTTTCTGTTCTTAAGTATTTTGCTGCCTTAGCTTGGATATTAGATGTTGTTTTCACTCAAAATTTAGAAGTTGAAGTATCTTTTATCTTTCATGTGATTTATGAACATATTTCTTGGCTTTCATAATGGTTTTGTATGTTAGCATGAGGTCACCTGTTGTTTATTTTCTACTGATTTTTTTTTTCTTTCTTACTAAAAGATCAAAGAAGGCAACAGTTCCATGATGCTGTTGAAACCAAATGTGTTGTTACCGACTTTCTATGTACTTTCCTTGTTTGAGGGTTACAGTAGGGGAGTGGACACAAGAAAATGTTGAGCCGTGTCAAGGGTCACTTTTATATGAGTTCAAGAACAGGGTGTCACTCGATGCCATCCAGCAGTGGTGTCTTTGTTGAATTGCTATTTCATTTTGCATGATTTGTGTCTTTATATTGAAAGACAAAATTCCTAAGAAGAACGGGTGTTTAGTGGGTGCTCTGGTGTGGTTTGCTCCTTTTTAAAAAATCAAACATGTATTCTCCTTATCTCTACTTTTTTGGTGTTTTCTACATGCTCTCTTGTTAATATTCGGCACTTACAAGACCTTATTGTGTTGCATTTGCCTTTAAACTCTTACTAAAACTATTCTCAAGAAAAGTTTTCAGCTGTGATGTATTTTCTTTCTTCCCTCCCCTTCCCACTACGCACATACACACAACCACTCCCATAAACACACAGGTCCAGAAGCTGGCAATCACAGTGGAGCTACTTCTGGGAGAGATCCCTGACAGGTCGGTGTTCCGACAGCCGCCCATGAGGAAGACACTGGCTCCTTACTTCCAGCTGACTCAAGGTGAGTGATGTGCTTCATGGGGAATTCTTACCTACCACGAGTGCTGCAGGCCAGAATGTGTCTTGCTCTCTGTGAATGATGTGTAGAATAACATTACCTGCTGCACAAGTAATTATTAGTGGCTGGGCAGCTCAGTGGGAATGAGGCCAAATGGTGCTGAGTTTGCCTGTTGTGATATAGTGTCAGGAGAATTTAAAAAAGACTTGTTACCGGTATATTGTTTCATATTGTCCAGTGATAAGCTGTGAGTAATTGTGTTACTATTGTGAGCTTGAGGAACGGTTTCTTCGGAGTTCCTGTCAATATAAGTGTTTTATGGTTACCTGAAATTGTACACATTTAGGATACATGAACTGGTTTGATTGCTCGATATAATGTCGGTTGAAGTAAATCTGTCACCATGCGCTGTAATCAGACGCTCGTCAATTTTTGGGCATATTGAGTTATTGGTATAATCTTAAAGCTTGTTTATTTGTCTTTCTTCCAGTGAAAAAATATGCATCTGTCTTGAATAGAAGTTGAGATATTTGCGATTGAAGGAGGTGAGAGTAGCTTGTTTTCCGGGGTAAAATTTGCAAGAAAATGGCTGCCAAATTAAAAACACAATATGTACGTATTTTTTGCCTTTGTCAATGTTTTTCAGTAAAATTCACAAGGAAATGTATTTTTATATGAACATAAAAGGTGTTGAGCCAAAAAATAAAACATCAACAAAAACAAACTGGCAGAAAAATGCAGGTTTCTTCAATTTCCTTATTTTAGCGAGCGCCTGATTACACCACGCTGCTTCACAAAAGTTCAGGATGGGGGAAAGGGGGGTATTGTCGCTCATGCTGTTGTTCATGACAAAGATGCCATTGCGCTCATATGACCTTAGCAGTTGCGAGCGCCGTAAAACCTTATACTACTACTACTAAAGATGCCATTTTTGCAAAAAGATGAGTTACTTCTGTAATATCATTGTATCATACTTGTAACAAACATTTCTGTCCTTATGCTAAGTGGATATCTTTTTCTTGTCCATTGCACAGCTGTGAGGGGCGGAAACTTGCAGAAGTTTAATGAAACTCTGGCGACCTTTGGCACTAAGTTCCAGGCAGAGAACACCTATACTCTGATTGTTCGTTTGCGCCATAACGTCATTAAGGTAAGTTGGCCACCAGACATTCGGATTCCTTGTGGCCAATATATTTTAGTCGTGGGTGGTTGGCGGGTGCTCTGGTGTGGTTTGCTGCTTCTTTCCTATCAAACATCTATCGTCCTTATCTCCCCTTTTTTCTTTTTTATGTTTGTTACTCTCTTGTAACACCTCTAATCTTCTGGCGCTCATATGACCTTATGCAGTTGCGAGCGCCGTAAAACCTCTTCTAAGACTAATATTTTAGTCACTTCTATTTTTGAAAACTGTAGATTTGTAAAAGATAGCGGAAGATGACACAGAATCTGAGATGTAATGGTAAGTCTCTTTTCTTTCTATGTAGTAGGAGTTGAATTGGGTCGTGGGGAAGGTTATGTTATCAATGTAGATGTGAAAACTTCTTTGAGCTTCAGTCCAAAGCCACATGGTCTAAATGTTTCAATGTAGGCATAAAAACTTCTTTCAGTTTCAATCCAATTAGATAAATTTATCATGGACATAGCGAACAACTTCTCAGGTCCTGCATTTTTTCCACATGTATATTCTTTGTATTGAAAACACGTATATTGTGAAGTTCGAACATGACTTTTGTATTTTGCTGATTTCGCTCTGTGTGTGCTAGACTGTTTCTCTTTTTTCCATTCCAGTTCTGTAAATGTGAATTTTTTCCATTAACTTATTTATTACTTTTACACCTTTTGTTACCCATAAAAAAAAAAGAAAAAGATTTTTCTTCACTATTAAGAAATGTTATATCATGTCTACATGTGTTTTAAAATTACGGAGTGAATAAGTTGATGTGTCTGTTCACCAGCCTTTAAGGTAATATGACCCAGACCATTATGACATTTAATTCCGCTCATTAATTGAGAGTCTCATCTTTAAGTATTGTATTCTTTTTCGACTATCTTCTCCACAGACTGGTGTGCGTATGATCAGCATCAGTTACTCACGCATCTCCCTGTCGGACATCGCTCACCGCCTGGCCCTGGACAGCCCAGAGGATGCTGAGTTCATTGTGGCTAAGGTAAGGCCTGTGCTGGCAGAAGGGGGGGCTCGTTACTTCAGACTTTGAGGTGCTGGTGATTGTAGAGCCAGGAGGCTTGATAGTTTAGAGTTGGGGGGGGGGGGGGGGGGGGGGGGGGGGTGTTGGGGAGCTTATAAGTCTATAAGTAAGACACTGAAGTTTTTCATGCACCTGATTGAAGGGTGCTTGATATTTTCGTTTGTCTTATGTGCTTGTTGCACTAGGTAAACTTATGGTTGTAAAAAGTTATTCTGCATTGTTGATTCCCCACAGGATTCTCGATTTTATAAAAACCTTTGGACTCTAGGAAAAAGGGTTGTTGTTGTTGTTGTTATCGATCCAGCAACATTTGGGCTCTCGCCCTTCTGTCCAATGCCGTGTAGTGATAAGTGCAGGTTTGCTGCAGTTGCTGTAATGTTCCGTAGGGAAAAGGGTAAATGTTTGTATTTTTGATAATTAAAATGACAGTTTTTATCATTCACTTTTCACCTTCAACCATAAAGTCTGTAAAACTTTTACCGAACTAACTTTTAAAAAAACAATTAAAACTTATTGTTTTTACTTTCTGGAAGCTGAAAATTGAAGAGATCTGCACTACAAAATTCCAAATTAATTACTTCTTGGAAGAGAAAAAACAGAAGGTCCAGCAGCTGGACTGAAATTGGGATTTCAACCTCTGGCAATCAGTGAGTTGAAATAGATTAAAAGCTTTTTTTCATACATCACAGTGATCCTCATGTAGTCCCACAGAGGGGAGACCCCAGTTGTGTGTAACAGGTCGAGTAAATGGCGATTGGAGGGCTCAAGGTTACTTTTATCGGAAAAAGAAATAAATCTGTTCGTTATCTTCATCTCATACGATACAATTTAACACCCCCCCCCCCAAAAAAAAAACAACCCCCAAAACAAACAAAACAATCCCTAGCACAATGGATTCATGTTTGCTTGTCTTTCAGGCGATCAGAGACGGCGTCATTGAGGCGACCATCGACCACGAGCATGGCTACGTTCAGTCCAAGGAGACGGGGGATGTGTACAGCACCAAGGAGCCCATGGCCGCCTTCCACCAGAGGATCAGTTTCTGTCTGGACATCCACAACCAGTCTGTCAAGGTGAGGGATGGGCCAAGGAAACCCACTGTTTTACAGATTGCTTGTTGAGGGATTGATTGTTCTAGGGTCATTGGGGGTGATAATATAGTGTAAGGTGCATATAGTTTGATGTCGAAAGGGAAATATGCACTTTACAAATCCTATTTATTTATCATTATTAAATGCTTCACGCCCAGTGCATTGTGACTTTGATCTTTTAAGAGGTGGGATGCCTTGACTTATCCTGTCAGGCTCTGCAGAGTATTTCATCTTTTCAGTAAACTTGTGTTATTTGAGTAAGTATTTTCTTCTCAAAGGAATCAACCTCGTATGTGCCAGTTTTTATGAAGTGAGAATTCTCGATAATAACCCAAGCACCAATCTATGTTGGCATGTCACTGTCGAGATGGGTACAAAAGAGTTGTGAAATTTCTGCCGAACATGGAAGAGGGGTCAGTTGGTTTACCAATAACACTCTTGAGAAAGAAAAGGGAATTCTTTAACATTGTTTTACATCTGTTTTTAAGCTAGGTGCTCTTTGTTCTTACTTTTGTATGAAATCTGTGTTAGAGTTGTCTTCATATTTTTAAACATTAGCACTACCCTAGCACAGAAATGTAAAATAGCAGCCATTTTGGGTTCAACCAGTAAATAGTAATCAACATTGCGAAAAATAACATGTCTGTTGTTGAATTTGAGATGAAGCTTTTATTGTGATTGATTGGTTGATACAAAAGATTGTGAGCAAATGAATGTGACTGAAACATTATCTTTGAGGGTAGAAAATTTTTTCATATTTTTTCACATGTTGTGGCACATTGTAATACTTTTTAAAAAAAATCAGTTTTCTTTTTAAGAAAAACGATTGTATGCACAATTTGGTGTTTTACAGTATCCTCGACCGTGCAGTCTGGTGTATTTCTGGGAATTTGGCTCAATTTGAGCTAACTGAAGGGTGTCTGCAGGTAGAAGGAGGGCACCTATAGAAGGTTCTATTTCTCTTAGTCATTTCTATCTGTCTTGATTCCTGTGGCACTACATGATCAGTATGATGTCGATATGCTTCTCTTTATCCAAACAAAGCAGTTCCTACCAAACTGAAAAATGTTTAATGTGTCCTGTGCGCTCATATGACACGACCAAAAAAACAACAAACCCCCCCCCACAAAAGAACAAAGCAGAATAATGCTAGACTTTGAGCTGATGTTGGTCATATTCTTTTTTGTCAAACAGGCCATGCGCTTCCCACCAAAGTCCTACAACAAAGACCTTGAATCGGCTGAGGTAAGTTTTACTGTCACTACCAGAGTTCGTCCTTCTGTCTGTAGAAAATTGAAATCGGATGTGAAGTGCTCTGTTCTTCTAAATCATTTTTATAGAGTAGTCTTAGGGTTTGTTGATTGGCCTGAGGGTATGTTTTTTTCTTCTAGCTACCCACAGGTTTTCCAATGTAGCAAGTTTGAATCCGATAAAAATGAAACAAATTAATTACAGTTGTGTATCCTTTTCATTGTTTTATGTTCATATAGTTAATCATCCAGCAGTAGTGGTTGGGTGGGCTTGTGCTACTCAATGAAATTCCATTTTGCTATTAGTCATTAGGAGCAGGAGGTAGAAGTTGTTACAAACCTGATCGATTTTTTTTTTCTTATCTGGACTCTGTGTTTGTTTTTGTTGTTTCGTTTTATGTTCCCACAATATGTTTTCATAGTTTTAGAAGATGGAGATAGAGATTATTTGGCTCAGACAGACTTCCAAATCTTTTACTTATGCCACGCTTTTAGCCCTGTTTAGGCTCCTGCGTATTGTAGTTTCACAGTAAATGACCTAAGAAATGAACGAAAAAATAAAACAAAGAACTGTACTAGAATAAGGAAAATAAATCTCACATCAGGCGCAGGGCTTCTTACTTACATTTTATCTGTTCCCAGTCACCTGTGACTCCTTGAGAAATTTGTACACTCCCTGGTTGAAACTTGTTTGTTTCTTTAAGTTTCTCTATTAAGTAAACTCTGAACCTAGTCAAATGTTTTTTCTTTAACCAGGCAAAATGAGTTGTCACAGCAAGTTAACATTTAACCCGAAAGATCTGTCAAGTAGGATGATTTTCATAGTGTGGGACATATGTGTCGCGACGTGCTGGAATCAGGCGCTTGTCCATTTTTTGGCTTATGGGGTTATTGGTTTCATCTTAAAGCTTATTCATTTGTCTTGCTTTTTGACAAAAAATTAACCATCTGTCTTCAATAGAACTTTTTAGAAGTCGAGATATTTGAGATTGAAGGAGGTGGGGGGGTTGCCTGGTTTCAGAGGTAAAAGTAGAGAGAAAGTGGCAGCCGAAGTTTGGTGAATTCTTTAGCTGGAGAGCCCTGGGAAACTGAAAATTTACTTTTAAAAAAATCTTTAGTCGTTTTTCAGTAAAAATCGACACAGAAATGTGTTTTTAAATGGAGATAAAAGATGTTTAGCCAAAAAACAAATTTTTTATAAAAATTGCCAAACCAATGGAAATTCGCCTGTTTCTACAATTTCATTATTTAGACAAGCGCCTGATTTCACCACGCTGCCTCACATATGGTCAATTTTTTGGATTTACATCCAGTATTTGGGTCACAGTTTTGCAGCAAATAAGCCATTCTAGAGTGCCCCAGAGATTGTGTCATTATACTAGGTTGTAAATGGAAAAAAGTTCTGATCCCCATCGACATGGTTTAGATCATTTAGGAGGCAGGCTGCTTCATATTGCATTATCTCCAGATGGGAAGTGAATTCTCGTCTTTTGCCTGTGAGCCAGAGAGCCTAGCCATGATTCGTGAAAATGATTTAACAGAACTTTGAAAAGGCATACTGAATAGATGAAGTAGGCTTGGTTCTGAGCCACATAAAAAAAATCCTCAAAGCTGGTTTGCAAGGGGCTAAAAGTAGTGGCTTTAGTTTTTGGTTTCCTGTAGTAAGTGAACTCGAATGTGTTGGTGTTTTCTGTACTAATCAGCGGCGTGCCCGCAAAAAATCTCGTCATCGCAGGAACGCCGGGAGAGGGAGCAACAGGAGCTCGAGAGCGCGAAAGAAATAGCGGAGGAGGATTTTGACGGCTTCCCGTAAATCTGCTCTGTGACTGCACGTCTGGACAGAAGAATCTTTTGCCTCTTTTGGCTTGATGGGTGACAGTGCTTCTTGACTGAGCGAGCGAATCGTGGATATTTTATGGAGAATTTTGTTTTTCTTTGAAGGGAGAGGGGAGGAGGGGGGGTATGACTAAGAGATAACTTCACGAAGAAGTAAAAGAAAAAAAATGTGTGAATTAGGGGTAATGTACATTTTCTTGATGTACGATGAAAGGTGAATGACAAATGAAAGGTGAAGAAGCACTATTGTATGATATATTATGTGAAGTCCATGCTTCATTATTTTGGTATTTTCTTTATGTCACATTTCTTTACGTATGTGTGAATGATTTGTTCTCTCGTTCCAAATGTTAGACAGATGAATGAATAAATGGCGAGTGTTTTGCAAAACGTCATTGGCACATCTTTGGGCAACTGGAAGGCTTTTATGTTAAACACCTTTTGTGCCAGCAGTTTTTCCAGTACTGGTATATATACGCTTTGAATGGTCGATTGTCGAAAAGATTGCAGTCGTGTTGGTTTTGTAGACAGATTGAACAAAATTGATTTTGTTAAAACTGTTGGAGTTTAAAGCCGAGCTTACAGGCATTGTTTCAAAGGCAAGGATGTGTGCAGGTAGTGGGGACATGTTTTTGAATTCCACTCAAAATTTGTCTCCCATGACGCTGGTACGTTGTGGTTTCTCTAGAATCTTTCGTAACAAATTATGCGCATAAAGCTAGAGCAAGTTTTATTTTAAGCATTTTTCATCTGAAGTTTGTCATTTGTTTATGTCTTTGTCAATGGAAATAATGTTTTCTTGAACCTGCACTTATCAAACTCCTGTCTTGGTAATGTTTGCAGACTATATTATTGTTGTTGAATTTTGGAAAAAATCTTGCATAGATCTAGTACCGGGTGGTTAAGTAGATTGGAGGGGAAAAAATTGCCTCGTCCAGAAATTTTTTTCACGTGATCTATTGTGTGAATGGTTTTGTACCAAGGTTGGTATAGTGATGTAATATTGTGTGTGATTCATGTGCAGGATGTTTGTGTACCCTTGTATTGTTCCTTTATGTGCATGAGTGCTGATTCATGGTAAATGTTTGTTTTGTTTTGTTCTTTGCTTTGAATATTTGAACATCATTAAAGAATGTGATTTTAATTATTTAAGTTTGTTTTTTGTTGACTTGCTGACTTGCTGTTTGTATGTAAGCAAATCTTGACTGTTTTATGTTGTGTGAGTTTATAATGTTACAGCCCAAATGTGGGCTGCAACTGTTATTTTTTTCTTCAATTTTAGTAAGAACACACTCTAGTTGACACGTTTGGCCTTTACAAACTTTTGCAGCTCTTTCATCAACACTGTGCATTGAGTTTTTATTTTTGTCATTTTCCGAGAAAAGGTTCCCAAATAAGAGGGTGGTTCATGGCTATTCCTTCTACTTATTGAATTGGTATTGTTTTTATCTCGCTTCGTCTGTATGTGGCTAGTAAAAATGTTTTGTTTTAAAATGCCACAGATTACAACAAGCAGACTTATGTGCTGTTGAAGTTACAGAGGTGAGCAGAGTAAGTCTGATTCACCGTAAGGACTTCTCTGTTGACGTCCATAGTGCGAGCGCCGTAAAACCTCTACTAAAACATACAAAGACTACAGCACTTAATCACACCAGTTCTATTGCTCGTGGTATTGTGAAGCTAGAAATGTCTGCTGTCCTGTTGCTGATGGAAATCAATTTGCTTTTGAGGGCCGTAAAATCTTACTAGTACTAAAACATATTTTTTACTTTTGAAAGTGAGCTTTGTGTCTCCTAGCAACATGGAAGCTCCTTCCTTAGTCCTTCTCTTGTCTCTTTGGTTAAATTGTTGGTTGCCTTTCAAGATGGGAATAGCCCCGGGGCAGTGCCACTGACTGTAGTGTCTTTTTAAGCCATTTCCGAAGGGGGGACATTTCTCGTTCAAGCATAGTATAATTGTAAATGGGCTGACTCGTGTCACGCTCATAACTGTGCCTGATCTACAACAGGGAACTGCTTTTTCTTTCCTGATCCTTACTATGGTAATTTTCCTCTACTTCTTTTGTATGTTTGACCTGCTATTTGGGGGGTGCCTTGATAGTCGAAGCAGACCTTGTGTTGTTGAAGCTGGAGAGGTGAGCAGTCTAAGTTTGATTCCCTGTAAAGACTTCTCTGTTGACACCCAACCCTTGGCGCTCATATGACCTTATGCAGTTGCGAGCACCGTGAAACCCTCTACTATAAAAAAAAAGATGGGAATACTTGTGTGGAATGGTATGCCTTTGACATTGCTGAGGCACCCTCACCCGGTAGTGTTGGGTTTCACACACGTGTCTCCCCTTCCCCCTCACCAAAAAAACCCCCTTAAAAAGTCACTTCCACTCTGTAGGTTGTTGGCAGGTGCTCTGGTGTGGTTTGCTCCTTCTTTTCTATCAACCATCTGTCGTCTTTATCTCTCCTTTTTCTTATTTTGTGTTTTTTTTACACCCTTGTAACACCTCTAATCTGCACTAATTAGGATCTACCTGTGTCGCAAGTGCCTTAAAACTTTTACTGAAACAAATTTCCACTTATCTCTGCGCCCCCAACCACAGTGCTACCAGAGAGGGTTTACAGTAATAGTATTACTGTAAACTCTCTGGTGCTACTGACTGAAGTTGTCATTTAGGCAGGCCATTCCCAAAGGGGAATGTTCTTATGCACAGTAAAATTGTAGATGGGCTGATTTATCAATGTCATGCTCATACTCATACTGTGCCGGAATAATGTCATAGGGGGAACTGATGCTTTTTCTTTCCTCATCCTTACCGTCGTCATTTTCCCTCTATTTCTTTTTTTATGTTTATTATCACTCTCTTGTGAACTGTTATTTCTGGGGTGCCTTGATAGTCGAAGCAGACTTCGTGCTGTTGAGGCTCGAGAGGTAAGCAGAATAAGCCTGATTACCCGTGACTACTCTGTTGACATCCACCCTTTGGCGCTCATATGACCTTATGCAGTTGCGAGCGCCGTAATACCTTTAAAACGAATAAATTACTTTTCCCAAGCACTAAATGACCATTATTGTGCCAAGTGCTTCTAGACTCACTACTTAAACCAACAAAACTCATCTCTGCTTCTCTCATCTATTACTGTTAATCTTACGGAGAGCTGATGGGTTGTTGTAAAAATGGAAAACCAACCATCATTTATATCATTATCAATGTACATGTACTTACAATATTATATTATTCCTTTAACGTGGAAGCTGAGCTAAATGTCTCTTCTTAGCATCAAGACAGCACCCCCACCCCCCACCCCCTTCTTTCCGTTTTCTTTTTACACAAATTCTCTGGGGTTGGCAGAGGACTGAGAGGGTGGTGAGTGCTCTGGTCTCTTTTGCTCCCTTTCCTATTATCAAACATTCTATCGTCATCTTTCCTTTTTTATACGTTACTCTATAGTAACTATAGTGGTGACACTTCTAGATCTAGTCTTCGACATTTCATGACCTGTTTGTGCTTCAAGTTCAAGTGCTGTGAAACTACAGTGGAAACCATGACAGGCCCGGTAATAACGCATTTTTTAAATCCCCGTTTTTTCCCCTGCTCTCTGCCTCTACTAAAAGTTATCCGCAATATCGGAGCCCAATAATATGTAGCAGGGACAAAGGCTCGTTGACAATGTGTAAAAAGTAAGAGAGAGAGAGAGAGAGAGAGAGAGAGAGAGAGAGAGAGAGAGAGAGAGAGAGAGAGAGAGAGAGTAACGCAGTGATGGAGCAAGCCATACCACCTCAAGGCCTGGCACATGGCCAAAGCCCCTGATCGTGGATACTTGTGGCAAGAGAAACTACCCATGAATAAGTGCAGCTGGATTAGTCCACAGATGCTTACTTCCCTTGTATTTTTGATTTAACAGAGATCGGATATAGCAGGACTTTTTCTCTGGTCCCACCATCCCTGTTATATGAGGTTTCCACTGTATTACTACAACTACAACAACTACATGTACAAAGAGATGACTAATGGGTTCTTTTTGAGCTGGAGTCCTGCGCAAGCCTCTGAATAAGGCAGCAAATATGAATGCTTTCATTTAGGAGTGGAACTATACCATACCTGAACTTTGACATGGTTTTTTTTTTTTTTTTTGGTTCAGGTCTGAGTGGAGTTACACGATCAATAAAAATCATTTCAAAATTGCCTCTTCTTAGATACTGTTGAGATTGAAGCCGGATGTAATGTATGGGTTATTTTTAAAGGGATGCAAGGGTCAAAAAGCAGTACGGTAAACAATTTATGTTCTCTTATCTATAAAAGTATACTACGTAGAGGTGAAAAGATCAAACACGTTCAAGAGTTCAGAAATAAAACAAAGAATTGCAAAAGCTGAAGATACGTTTCAATAAAATGAGTCCAATCCTGGCAAATAGTATCTCAATGACTACATGCACCACCAAAATACGATTTTGATTTTAAAAATGTTATGATCATGATTTTTGGGTAACCCTTCAGTAAAGGATAAGATAAGGTACATCTTTAATGTCTAGATCCTGGTACATCGGTTTGGTGTTTCACCTGACACGCACGCGCGCGCGCGCACACACACACACACACACACACTCACACACACACACACACACACTCTTCCCTCACATTAGTCACAAGTCATGGCTGTGAATACAGGACAATTTCATCATGTACCGAAGACTTTGAAAATAAACTACGAGTTCAGACACCAGTAATGTGGTTTCTTAAGATACTGTTGAGATTTTACTAAAAATAAATACATAAAAATAAATGAAAAGAAATCAATTTAGGTAGTGCCAACCTCCTTACTCCTCGGGTATTAGATTTAGTATTAGGCCGCTGAATGAAATGAGCCCACATGAGCAGCGCACTAATAAAATCAATAAGGAATTTAAGAAGCTAACGCGGCTGTTTCTAGGATACTTAACTTACATCTAAGAGTAATATGAATTTTTTTTTTTTTGAATGACAGGGTAAGACCGGGATAAATTAATATTACCTTCCCTTTACTTTCTGTGTCTCCCTCTCATTTTAAATCTCCCATTCCTTGTCTGTCTGTCTGTCTGTCTGTCTGTCTGTCTGTCTGTCTGTCTGTCTGTCTGT